ACTGGCCTATAGTTGCCCGACTCCTCCATACTACCTTTCTTGTAAATGGGCACAACATTCGTTAACTTCCAATCTTCTGGGCCTACTCCTGTTAACAATGATTGGTTAAATAAATCTGGTAATGGTTTTGCTAGTACACCACTAAGCTCTTAATAACTTTGGGTGTATTTCATCAGGTCCTGTTGACTTATTTGTCTTTACTTTTGACAGTTTAAATAAAACCTCTTCCTCTGTAAACTTACATGTAACAAATGACTAATTTGTCCTTTTTCCTAACTGAGGCCCCTTTCCTTCATTTGCATCTGTAAATACTGAACAAAAATATTCATTGAGGCAGTCAGCTAGACCTTTATCCTCTTCTACATACCTTCCTTCTTTTGTTTTTACTCTAACTAATCCTTGTTTTACTTTCATTTTCTCATTGATGTATCTAAAAAATGTTTTAGCCCCCTTTTATTTTTTACTGAGTGTGCTATTTTCTCTTCTGTGTGTTATTTGGAAGCTTTTACAATTTGCTTAGCCTCTTTCTGCCTAATCTTATAGATCATTCTGTCTTTCTCACTCTGATTTTTTTTTTTTTATAATTACTAAATGCTAACTTTTTGTTTTTTTTACTATTTTGGCCACATCTGAGGAGTTCCACAGAGGTTTCTTGAATTTTTTGCTTTTACTGACAACTTAATGCAATTTTCTGTTGCCTTCAGCAGTGCAAGTTTTAAATAATCACATTTCTCTTTGACTCCATTTAAATTGCTCCAGTCTGATAATGACTCCTTTACACATATTCTAATTTTAGAAAAGTCTGTGTTTTTAAAGTCTAATACATTTGTTTTTGTGTGGTGTGACTCAGTCACTGTTCTTTTATTAAACCACACTGATTGATGATCACTGGATCCTAAACTTTCACCTACAGTAATATCTGATACCAAATCTCCATTTGCTAACACTAAATCTAGTATGGCCTCTTTATGGGTTGGCTCCTCAACGACTTGTTTTAGAGACAATCCCAGTAGGGTTTTAAATATGCGTGCTCCTGGCACAAGCAGCTATTTTGGTTTTCCAATTCACATCAGGAAGATTAAAGTCAAAACTCTTAGCAAAATCTTAGACTGTTGAATATTCTGTAAAACTCTCCATAATATCTCCAATAAAACTATTTGAAGCAGCACTTAGATGTAGTAACCATGCTATATTAGCCAAGCTAACGACCACAACACAACACAACACAACACAACAGAAGAGTTAATCTCAGGGCCTGCTGCTCCACACTGCTAGAAAATGCTTGAGATTTCCTGTGAGTCTGTAAGACATTTCTTCATAGCATTAGATCATTTGGAGTGTGGTATGCAGTAATTGCCACTTTAGAGGATAGTAAGTTTGAGAAAACACTGCACATACAGAATCCAGGCACCATGACCATTTCAGATCATTGGAGTAACCCTTTAAAGGCCAACACCAATTATTATAATATATAGAAAGGATATGACAAACTATAACCATGATATATCAAATGTGTAAGCTAATGTGTAAATTGGAAAGCTGTTGAAAAAAACTAGTTATTTTCTTATATATTTTGAACATTTGGAAAATGATAAAAAGCATCCAACATTCCAGGGCACTGGTGGGCAGGGGGTAAAGTGGGCATGCCACTGACGTGAATAATTTTATTGGTGCCACCTGGAAAGAATTGGCAGGTCAGCCTGATGTAACATGAATGCACATCAGGCTGCCTGCCAACCAATCATGCCGGAGTCATGGTTTCAGTGTTCTCTGTAGGGTTTTAGCACCCTGAATGTATGCAAGCTCATCTAATGATGTGCTTGCGCTATGCTTTTTAGTGAAAGTTCCTTGGTGTCCCCAAAAGTGGGACACCAGGGAACAAAGTCAGGCTGGCTGGACAGGACTCTAAAAGTAAGACTGCACCACCAATATTTTGAATTTTGGGTGGCTTGCGTAATTTCAGCAAAATCCTTAAAGGATTTCACCAGAACAACTACATCTTAATGTAGTTGTTTTGGGGTCTACTGCCTGTCCCTACAGGAATTTTTAGGTAATCACTGCCTTTTCAGGGAAAAGGTAGTGTTTACATTGCTGTCTTGGGGCACCTCTTGTGGCTGTCACTCAGACGGCCACTAGAGGTGCTTCCTGAGTCAGTGCAGCACAATGTACAGCATCTCTATGAGGAGCTGATTTGCACAGTGTAGCATTTTGCCCCACATGTGTGATAGCCTCCCAATGCTATTCTATAAGAACGAATTGGAGTGGCTGAGATCATCAACTGTAATGGGCAAAGCATGAGTGGAGCCAGCCATGCGGGAACCCCCTGAAAAAAGATAAGTAAACTAGCTATTTTACTGAAAAAAAGAAGAGGGCATTTGGACAGATGGACAAGCTAGAAATAAGAGATGGTCTTGAAGGTTATGAAAAGATTTATAATTTAGAGCTTGAATCTTACATTAATTACATACAGGTAAATTAAATCAGAGCAAGGAATGACACACAGGTCTTGAGTTAATATTTTTAGATACGTTTTTCAAATTATATTGGTATATCTTGTATATATGATATATTTATTTAAAAACAATTAAATTACCAATTTATCAAAAATTATTAAATTGAAGCCCTAGTTTACTGGTTAGTAGAGATGGTAATTTTGGTAGCAACAAATATTAAGAACTACCGGAGATCAATAAAACATGAGTTACTGGGAATCTAATATAACTCATGAGGTAATCTAAATGACATGCCATGGCAGAATATTCAACTCTAAAAACAAAACTAAATTTGCATTAGGATTAGGGATGTGGTCTGGCAACATCTTATTGCCTAAACATTCATATCCCAAATCCTTACTGCCTTATCTGCTCACCTGTTATAGGTATGTTGGTATATAAATAAGTATTTTTTTAAAAATATACAGTACCCAGAAAAAAAGGGAATTGGGGGCACACCAAGAACATACATTTCTCAAGTGTGGTGCTGCTGTAAAGACCATAATTTATACAGAATACAGGTTAAAAAACAGAGCACACATACAAAAGTACAGTTTTAAATCTCACAAGGCTACTTTAAATCTTAGCTATAAAATATGGTAATTTAGTAACACCATATGGTCATATTGTGTAAAGCCAACCACTACGTCACACTGCCACAATATTAGTGGGTTCTACACTAATTTTAACATAGAGGATTAACATGTTAACTGAAACTCATACTACTTAACCCCTTAAGGACACAACTTCTGAAATAAAATGGAATCATGACAGAATATTTCCGTTGTGTGTCCTTAAGGGGTTTAACTGACTTTCCTCAAATGTATTAATTCATATAGTCACCTCCATAGAGGCACCTAGAGTGGACGGGTGGTGTGCTTAACCCAAGTTTAATGGTTTGATACATGAGAAAAAGGGGATTGATTTGGGGGTACCCAGAATATGCATTTCTCAGAAGTGATGCTGATGTAAACACAACATAATAAATAATGTTTAACCCATTAAGGACCATGGACGTATTAGGTACCTCCGTCAAAAAATGGTCCTTAAGGACCTTGGACATACCTAATACGTCCGCGGCAAATATGAGCGCTGGAAGCGCTTCCAGCCGCTTTAAGGGTATTGCAGCGATGCCTCGATATCGAGGCATCCTGCAATAACTCTCCTGACTGCCGAGCCACCGAATGATCACTCCCCAGGAGCGATCACTTCGGGTTTCCCCACGTGGCGCCCGGGAGTGTAGGAGAGCATCGGAAGCCGTCGGCAAGCTTCTGATGCTCTGCCTGTGTGCTGAGTGCCTTGAGGGGTTGAGGCACTCAGTGAAGACTTAAAGGACCACTATAGGCACCCAGACCACTTCAGCTTAATAAAGTGGTCTGGGTGCCTGGTCCAGCTAGGGTTAACCCCCTTTTTTTTATAAACATAGCAGTTTCAGAGAAACTGCTATGTTTATAATAGGGTTAATCCAGCCTCTAGAGCCTCTAGTGGCTGTCTCATTGACAGCTGCTAGAGGCGCTTGCGTGCTTCTCACTGTGAAAATCACAGTGAGAAGACGCCAGCGTCCATAGGAAAGCATTGTAAACGCTTTCCTATGAACTGGCTGAATGCGCACGCGGCTCCTGCCGCGCATGCGCATTCAGCTGATGACGTCGCTATGAAGGAGAAGAGGAGGAGGCGAGCTCCCCGCCCAGCACTGGAGAAAGGTAAGATTTTAACCCCTTCCTCTCCCCAGAGCCCGGCGGGAGGGAGACCCTGAGGGTGGGGGCACCCTCAGGGCACTATAGTGCCAGGAAAACGAGTATGTTTTCCTGGCACTATAGTGGTCCTTTAATAGTATTTCTATATTTTTGGGTTTATCAGTAAACTTTGCTTTGTAGTGAACTGAGATCCAAAGAGCAAAATGTAGGCAATAGTATCTGATCTGGAAAGATTGTCCAATAAATATAATAAGAGTGTGGCTACCTGGATTTTGCCATTTAAATGTAAATTAATAACAGTTTGGTTAGATCCTTCAGTGTGGGAGCTGAAATTTATAAAGTAATTATGACATTTGTTTTAACTGTTTTTTGTAATTTTTTTTTTTAATTCTTTATTTTGGTGTGCATAGAGATTACAAACATGCCGGCACTGCCACAATAGCAGGTACCGGCGCTTCTGGATTACTATACATGAGTTGCGACTGCACAATTCTTATATAATATTCATGCTTGACTCAGGGTGAACAGTAGCTAAATCAGTAAACAGGTAACATGGAGCATATAAAACAGGTATGCAGACTGACATTGAGATTAAGTAGTTGAGCAGTGTAAGGCTATTGTTTCTATTGCTCGTCCCCCCACCCCACCGCCGCTCCTTGTCTCTTGGCAGAGCAAAGTAAAAGGCCATAGGGATTTGGCATATTCATGGGTATAAACAGTAGGGGTGCATAATATATGAGGAGGTGATTGTCTGCGTCTTAGTGGGCTCAGGTATTAGGCAACAGGCCTATCGTTTTCCTAGAGTCACCAGTCAGCCGACTCCCATCATCGGAAAGCGCCTGGAGCATGCCGATATGTTGTGCAGTGTCTCCGGCAGGAGTGGGTGTTCTGGCTGGTATCCCGTTCTGCCATCTCCCCCCACAGGTGTCCGTCGTTTCTGCCTCTCAGCCAGGTTGTGCGGGTTCTTTTGCCCGGACTTCAGGAGCAGGGGCAGGTCTGTTGGTCGGGTTCGGATCTGCAGTGGACCAGGACGTTGCAAGCTTTTGGGCCCGGTCACCGCCGTGTAGAGTGGATGAGTGTACATTGTTATATTTCTCCCCTGTGCATGGAGACCCCGGTGTCGTTGCATGTATTGTCTCCGCCTCTTATTCTTGTTGGTCTGCCGCCATGATGAGGCCTGTCCTGCAGGTAGGGCCTTTGGAGCTTTCCTCCTGTTTGGAGTCAGTCTTTTGGTGGGGTGGCAGTTTGGTTGATATGGGGCGAGTGATTGTGTTCTGCCCTCTATTTTGCACCAAAAATTGGTCAGCAGTGCGTCTAGTTTTTGTGAGAGTCCCTGGTGGGAGTCAGTGGGGTCAGGGAGGAACGTGGCATCCGCTGGATTGTTGGTTTGTGGAGTTGGCTTCACCCTGCGCCCCCACCGCTTCAGGTTTGCCTCCCAGGGTTAGACCGCGATCACCCCCGATGGTACGGGGGGGGAGTAGCGGGGCTGTCACTCGTCTTGCATCGTCCCCATGCGTTGCCGGACCGAGGGATCGGCCGCCTCCCCATGTTGTGAGGTGTGCAGCCAGCAGGTTCCAGGTAAGTCGTAGACCGCAGCCACGGTGTCCAGCCCTGTTGTGGCTCAGGTGTGACATGTTTTGTCGCTTGTTGCAGGGTTTGTGTGGCTACATGTGCCAATAATCGCCCCGGTTGCTGAGGAGCTCTGCTCAGGCACGTCTGTCCTCCATGCTGGTCAGGCCCCGCCCCCTGTTTTTGTTATTTTTAAAGTTTGGTGACCCCACAACATTGTTATTGGACAATGAGGCAAGCAGTTGGTTCATAACGGTCATTGCTTTTCAATATATAACCTAGCTTTAAAATAAAACATATATTTATTGCGTACAAAACTATTTGCAATTTGTGGTTGGAGTTCCAGGTAAAATGAAAGTAGAGTTTGCGTGCTTTAACCCCTTAATGACCGAGACACAGATAGTCAGATATATTAACCCCTTAATGACTGATACACCGAGAGTAAGAGGTATTTACCCCTTAAGGACTGAGACACCGAGAGTCAGAGCTATTAAATAAAATAAATAAAAAAAATTAATAAAATAAATGTATTAATCTCCCCAACCATGTGGCTTTCAATATGGTGCTGCCTTTGTAAAGGCAGTGCATCTTGGGTCTTCTGGGGTTGTCCCTAGCCTACCTCCTTATAGAGCTTGCCTATATAATAATATTTATTATTACTATGATCCCCATTTGTCTGGTGATCAGTGTGGATCTCCCTCCCTCTCTTCCAGGGGCGTATTAGCCGCGAGGCAAACAAGGCATTTGCCTTGGGCGGCATTTTTCAGGGGGCGGCAAAAAACGCCGCCCCCCAAATGCCCAGGGCAAATGCCTAGTTAGCCTTGCGGCTGACATCCCGAGCGGGCGGGCAGCTCTGGCTGATTGTCGGGCGGGCAGCTGGCGAGGGAGCACTTCCTCTGAGCTGACTGCTCAGCTCCCTCGCGCGCCGCAGAGTGAGGCTGGGAGCCGGAAGATGACGTCATCTTCTGGCTCCCAGCCTCACTCTGCAGCCGGGGAGCTGAGCAGACAGCTCATAGGAAGTGCTCCCTGGACCTGCAGCCACTGGACCACCGGACCACCGGACCACAAGGGAGAGAGACCCCCCCCACCCCCAGCACTCCCAAAGGTAAGGAGGTTGGGGGGGATTTAAATTAAAAAAAAAGTTAATGTGTGTGTGTGTCTGACTGTGTGTGTGTCTGACTGTGTGTGTGTTTGTGCCTGACTGTGTGTGTGTGTGTGTGTGTGTGTTTGTGCCTGACTGTGTGTGTGTGTTTGTGTCTGACTGTGTTTGTGAGTGTGAGTGTGTGTGTTTGTGTCTGACTGTGTTTGTGTATGTGTGAGTGTGTGTGTGTGTTTGTGTCTGACTGTGTTTGTGTATGTGTGTGTGTTTTGTGTCTGACTGTGTTTGTGTATGTGTGAGTGTGTGTGTGTTTGTGTCTGTGTTTGTGTATGTGTGAGTGTGTGTGTGTTTGTGTCTGACTGTGTTTGTGTATGTGGAGTGTGTGTGTGTGTGTGTTTGTGTCTGTGTATGTGTATGACTGTGTATGTGTCTGTGTATGTGTATATGTCCACTTTAGTGGCATATGTCTGACTGTGTGTGTGTATGTGTCTGACTGTGTGTGTTTGTCTGTGTGTGTGTGTGTTTGTGTCTGACTGTGTGTTTTTGTGTCTGACTGTGTTTGTGTGTTTGTGAGTGTGTGTGTCTGACTGTGTATGTGTGTGTGTGTTTGTGTCTGACTGTGTGTGTGTCTGACTGTGTGTGTGTGTTTGTGTCTGACTGTGTGTGTGTGTTTGTGTGTCTCTGACTGTGTATGTGTGTGTGTGTTTGTGTCTGACTGTGTTTGTGTCTGTGTCTGACTGTGTGTGTGTATGTGTCTGACTGTGTGTGTGTGTGTTTGTGTCTGCCTGTGTGTGTGTGTGTATTTAGAAGGTGGGGCGGGGGGAAGGGTTGGGTGGGGGGGCGCCTGAGTTTTGTCCTGCCTAGGGCAGCACAAAACCAGGATACACCACTGCTCTCTTCACTTATGTTTCAATGAGAGAGAGAGATCTGTGTTTAGATAGAGAGATTTAGGTAGTTTTAGGTAGGGATTTATAAAATTGTGAGACCCAAAGACTCTTTTCAGAACCATTAACCCCTATCTTGCCAGTAGTCACTATACATCACTGGCTCTTGCAAAGCAGCACTTATTTTGCTGCCTGTGCATTTTTTTAGGGGTTCATTTTTTAGTGATTTTTTTTTTTTGAAAGGCCCAAAGTCTCTTTTCAGAGCTATTAACCCCTATATGTATAGATCACTGGCTTTTGCACAACAGCACTTATTTTGCTGTCTGTGCATTTGTTTAGGGGTTAATTTTTTAAACAAATTTTTTTGTGACAGCTCACTAAATAAAGTGATTGTGATCATGTCACAGAGGTTGTATTGCACTCAGGAGGCAATATGCCATTCTTGCGTTAGAGTCTGACGCATCTTTGTGTGATTTTGACCCAGATTTTGACCATGCCAGGTGCTCAGATACATCACTAGATACAGTGTCTGCTGCTAGTGATGTATCTAGTGATGTATTTTGTGGCTGCTAGGCCTCCTGCCAGAAGGAGACGTGCTGATCCAGCTGGCAGTGCTGCTGAGGAGTGGGTACCCCCTCATCGCCAGAGGCCAGATATCCCACCCTTCACCACAAATCCTAGCATCAATGTGGATGTTGCATGATTTAGCCCCGAACATTCAATGGAGGTGTTTCTGGGCGATGATGTCTTAGGGAACATTGTTGGCCAAACTAATTTATATACCCATCAGTTCTGTGCTTCAAAGCCTGAGTTTTCTTTGGCAAAGCACCATTCTGGCAAAATTCTGGGACTTGACTACGCTGACGGGCATCATAAAAAAGCCCTCTATCTGCTCCTACTCCTCTGCCCCATCTCTGCCCCATCTCCTCTGCCCCATTTAAGTCTAGTGTATGTCGAGGAACAGGTATGAAATGATTCTGCATTTCATACACTTCAGCGACAACAGCCTGTGCCCCCCTATGGAGCAACCCCAGTTTGACAGGCTGTATAAAATCCGCCCCCTGATTACCCACTTCACTACCAGGTTTGCAGAGGCTTATACACCTGGAAAGAATATATGTGTGTATGAATCCCTTATGAAGTATAAGGGAAGGCTGGTATTCAAGTAGTATATTCCTTCGAAGCGCTTCAGGTATGTTGTAAAGGGTGTGAGACTGGAGGTAGAATTAGTGCATGGAAAGTGTTAAAATACCACCATTTGAAATACCCTAGCGCAGGGGTAGGCAACCTTTTGTAATTGCTTTGTATCATTGTGTTTGTGCGTATATGAGCTATTATGTTGTATATGTTCATTAGTAGTTTATGGTATCGTGTATGATACATATGAATGTGGGCTGTGTATGAGGGCTGCTTGTGGACTTGTGTGTGGATGGATTTGTCACATTGTGTATTTGGTAGTGTGTGTATGTGTGGGGCTGTTTGGGGTATTGCATGTGAGAGGCTGCATGTGGGGTTGTGTGCGTGTATGTGGATTGTTAGTGGTGTTGCGTTTGTGGGGATTGTGTGTTGTGTGTGTGTGTGTGGGCGGTTCATATTATTTGTATGAGGGGAGGGTTATTCTGCATCTCCATGTATATCTAGCAGTGTGGGTGGGTTCCCTGGGTTCCAGTGGGGACCAGGCTGGCCAGGTACAGGTCAAGAACAGGAGCTGCGATAGCTGTCGAGGACTGCTCTACTACAGTGTGGATTCCCAGTCACAAGTGCTGGAAGGAAGTGATCTGAGATCACTTCCTCTATGTGCTGCAATGCATAAATTGAGGATTGTCCTTTACCACCTCTTTGTATTAGCAGATATCTGAAGTTTTACTGGGACTCCTGATAGGCCAGAGTGTGTTTGGCTCTAGCAGCCTTGAGTGCTGTGCAAAGACACCTCGAGTGCCGTGCATGGCACTAGTGCCATAGGTTGCCTACCCCTGCCCTACCGTGTCTACTTTTCAAAAAAATATGGTTTTATGGGGGCAAATTACATTGGCCGGCTTCAAAAATGCCTCAAATAAGACATGGGTGTATGATGACCAGCTGTGAAAATCCCGATTTTGAAAACTGGAATGCACACCCTCTAAATAAGATCTTTTAGCCCCGGAGAACCCGACACACCTATACATGGTTGGAATCACTGTACTTAGGAGATGTTGCTGAACACATATTGGCAGTGACCCTTAACATTCTCTGTACATGTATTCTTAAATTGCTATGTGTGTTAAAAAAAAATCACCAAAAAGGGGGTGGGGGACGGAATGTCATGGTGGATGGAAGCATCTCGTACTAGCTCCTCCATCATACTGCTGTAACGGCATCTTACTCCTTCACTAAGCTTGAACAGAGATAAATCCAATGAGGTCCATACTCCCTGACTCACCGGACATCCCGTGCAGTAGTCTGCAGCTGATTAAAAATCCACTTACCCCATCGTGGCAAATGCAGCCTAGTAGACACCGGAGGGGAGGGGCGACCGATCTTCCGATCTGGCGGTGTCTAGATACTGCTACCTGCAAACATGCACCCCGTTATCCCCCCCTTTGGACCAGTGGGGGTAACCCGGTCCACTCCTGGGGGGCCACCCACACTTGGTGAGACGAAGTGGTGAAGCCTTGAAAGCTGGAAACTCTCTTGCAGCACATCTAGTATGGCAGCGACTGTATGCCTCCCCACCCCGGCATTGACCAACTTGCCATTGAGTTCAAACTAGACCGAATTTTCACCGATTACTGGAGACGGCTGGAAAGCAGGCTCTGTGAACAACGACATAATCAAGCCCCACAGGGGCTGTGTTTCCGAACAGCCATGTTTACAGACTGGAAAATTGAACTGGGGTCAACAGCGGAGACGCAAGGACCACCACATAATCAGGACCGGGAAGCGCAACCTACCCTCAGTCTAGCTTTAGTCTCAGCTTTTTCTTAGTTGGATTCGAGAGGCGAAGTCCGCGAAGGAGTCTTCCCCGCCACGGCAAGGCTCACTACAGTTCCCACACTGACGCTCCAATGTCCTTTTCTGAGGCCCTCATGTCTGACTGCTCCCT